CAGTTAAGTTGGGATCTCTGCATTAAGTTGGGATTTTCCTTTGAGCATTGACGGCGTGTTTACATGCACGTCTTTACTAGCAAACAGATTCTGAACCATAATTCCTCTATCTGACATGATGCTGGTTTTTCGTGGTTTTCTCAACTCTCCTCACAGCAACCCTCCATTTATAGTTCAGATTCGGGTTAGCTGGAAACTTATGACCAGCTTTAGCCGACTTACAACCAGGAACACAACAGTACGAAAGCATTTTAACTTGGTTATATCGCTATGATTCCTGTATCTTTACAACTGACTCGTTCGTTGCGCAATCGTTGTAACACCTCTAACTCCCGCTGCGCCACCTGGCGGAAAAGCTAGCGGCTAACCCCATTGATAAACTCTACCGATAAAATGTGTTGAAGACTGTTCTGTTCGATTAAGTCGAAATTATTCGTCTGCAAGCAAACAACATTTGCTGCAGCATGATTTAGTTTGCCCATGAGCATTGGCAGTCTGTGTGTTTTGAATTGTGCATTGTATCAAATATATATTGGATTCAATATAGATTGGTGTCCAGGGGTATATCCATACCATAATAATTTACATCTAAAATTTTTAATAATCCTTCCTACAGTTATACAAGACAGAAGCGGCCCAGAAACTTGTATCCGTCGCAGAGAGGTATGATATATATATATATATATATATGATATATATATATGTATATATATATATATATATAACTTCTTCTATTCTCATACCTAACATGAAAATTTTAAAACAGTATCAGTCAGTATCATTTAGCCGTCAGTATGGCAATCATTGATTGGTAGTGAAGCTATTCATGTAAGTCGGGTTTGGGATTGGTTGATTGATTTCGGAAGAGTTTTCCTGTTAACTGCAACATAGGTAGGATTTCACGAAGTTATTCTCATTTGTGCTACTGCATGCTCACTGTGTGCATGGTTTTATATGCTAATGCTTTATTTTATTACGATTTTTATTGCCTTTGCAGGATGCAGGCACAGCAGAAGGAACAGCAGGCTCATCAGCATGAATACCAACGAGAAATTCAATTGCTTAGACAAATGCTGGCAGAGAAACAAGACCAGATTAACTCCCAGTCAGGTGAAAAAAAGTATGAATTTATTCGTATTGATTGTTAATTTGACAGAGAAACGCAGAGCATATAACACAGTACAGTAAAACTCGCGTAAGTCGACATCGTCTAAGTCGTCAATTCGCGTAAGTCGACATGGAAGTCAATGTCCCGATTCGCTCTCATAGTAAATCCATTGGAATAGCCCCGCCTAAGTCGACATTTACAAGTCGTCATTATGTACAAGTCAATGCCCTCAGACAGGTCCCATGTAAAACAAACAACAGTAATTTCCCATCTGTAAGTCAACATCGGAAATGCCGATGGCGCAGTGTACGGTCTAGGGAATACACGAGCTGGCTGTCGCAGACGGATTGTTTGAATCGCATTGTTTGCTAGGACGCATTGTTTTTTTCAGCTCGCAGCTCGCACACCCCCAGATTCCCCACTGTATACAGTGTATTATATAGTGTATATAGTGTATGCAGCCCAAAGCAGGGTGCAAAATTAACGCGAGTCCAGATCGAGTCAAATACTCCCTAATTTACTGTCGGACTCCCTGATTTGACATATGCAGGAGTCCGTGTGACTCCCTGAAAATTAATTCTGCTATACAGTACTAACTAGTTTGTTCCAGAGCACGGCCTCGCGGAATTACCCTATTTTTTTCAGCAAGTGTTCCAAGAAAATTTGGCAGACGTGCACTGCAAATGTCCTGCTACGCAAGGCAGCTAATACAGCTCATAGGTTCTATGTCCCCCAGGGTACTGCCGGAACGTACCCTGGTAACTATCTGATATGGTTAGGGTTAGGGAGTAGGCGTAGGCGTAGGTGACATATATGTACCTGAGGTAACTATCTGATATGGTTAGGGTTAGGGAGTAGGCGTAGGCGACTCCCTAGACTCGTTAGTGGAGTAGGCGAGGTACGGTCCGGCATATTAGATAGTACCAGGGTACGTTCTTGTGCATTCCACTGTTTCGGCGTGTATGTGAACACATTTGGGACTAACAGGGTTTACTAGAATCCCTCCACTCCACCACAGAGTCACCGCAGTAGACGTTAGATGAGCGCTGTCGCTATGCGGCACTTGTTAGTACCGTATTCAACAAAATAATTTTGATGTAGCAAATTGCCAATACAAAAATTAAACAGTTATATGTTGTAAACCGGACAAATTTCACTAAAAAAATAAAATAATAAAACAGTTAGTTATAGGTTATAAACAGGACCACCTTCACTAAAAAAATATATCTACGTCTCGTATATATATTGAGAGAATGAGAGAGTCTATATAATGAAGTTAAGTCGCCGAGCAGACAAAACAGCGTCTAAATTTATTTTAAAGCACTATTTTTACATTTAACTTAAAAAAAAATTTCAGACCACCAGACCCCCCCCCTTGTTACTCGCTCGAGGACCCCCCACCAATCCAAATTCCTGGCTATGCCATTGGTGCAATCCCATCGTGTGTGAAAAGAAATCAATGGAGTTTATGGTGCATCTTGCATAACAGATTCGTGTGCCGTTGCAACACTGTGACTTGGCTCTAACCTTTGATTCTTTTAACACATCTGTTAGTTAAATAAAGTTTCTAATTCAAATGTGCATCATACCGAGGGGCTGCTGCATCACCGAGTACAATACCTATTTCAGATTGAACCCATGTCGCCAATCTTAATTGCATATAATGACCGTCTAGCTGAGAGAGACAGCATAATAGCGGAGTACGAGGCAAGTAATTTGATAATTGTCATGGCTGTTACTCGGATTAGATCCCTTAAGGGCATCCTGTAGGGTAATGAGCTAATTAGGTAATTTTGTGGTATAACAATATATAATTTTGATCTGCAATAACTCATTTCTACTTGGGTGATTCTCTGTTTGAAATTTCATAGAAAAGTTGAGACCATATAATACTGCAAAACCATGGCTTAACACCGTTATGACATAAAGCTAGCGATCCGTTATATCACATGGATCACACGGACCTAATCTTGTCTTATTGTTGCTATTCACGTTAATAACATACCACATACTTTCAGAACGAAATGAAGGATTTGCATGACAAAATCAAGAGTGTGATCAAGCAGAATGACCGACTCAAGAAGGCATCTAGGACTTCTCTAAACCAATCTCTTTCTGATTGGTGTGTACAAATAATTTGTTATTCTGAAACAATTTATAGCAAGTACAAAAATATCATCGGGAATAAATAATCTCATTATCCTGTTTCCTAGGGAGGAGATACAGGAGCATGCAGAGGTGGTTCTGTCGGAGAACCATGCGCTGACCGGAGAGCTGGCAAGACAGCGGGAACGCTCCGAGGACATGCATCAGACACACGTCAAGGAGGGTGAGCTACTGTGTTTAACTGATTACTAATTAAATGTGTCTAATTACCCAGGTAGCAGGCCTGATCGCCATGCAGCCACCTTCACAGTTTATTAATCTATTTATGTACAATGTATACCTCACGTTGTTGATGCATAATACAGCTTTCTGCACCAATTACTGTTTACAAAGTTAAGGTTTAAAACATTTTGAAGTGTATGTTACGTACCAATTTTTACAGCAATTTTCCCTGTATTGTCAATGGAAATGACAGAAAACTGCATTTAAAATAGTTGGTTGGTGTTGTCGATGTAACTGTTCTAGCTGTCTTCTGCTACCCTCTTGCCATCATGAATGCCATCGTGCCTTTGACGTTCATTTATGTGTGCCATAGGTTAGAATCTTTTAAAGAAAGTCTTATTATGTAATTACAATCCTATTTGTAACGATGTAACACCTGCGATGGTCTTTGTGTCCTGCTACTACCGCATGTAGTGGCTGCACTGTCGAGGAGGCTGGCCCACGTGGAACAGGAGAGGGCAAGCATACAGGAGGAGCTGAGGAGGGTCTCAGACAGGTACTCCAGTCTCAAGGCAAGACATGAAGTTATGATGCTGAGCACTCATGAGGCAGTCTCGATGCAACAGCACACAGACGAGGTGGTGGACCTCAAGCAGTAAGTGGGTACTGGCTACTACAGTAAACATAACTGAGTGGGCTAAAATGTTTTGCGGTGTATGTGTGCATGCAACACATGAATTATCTGTAGGTACTAAACGTAGGCATAGTTCTCACACTGTTTATAAGAGACGAGTTATAACGTAATAGGCACAATCATGGTGTACTGTATGCTATCAATACTACCTACCATATGGGTGGTGTTATTTGAAATGGCTTTTGTGAATTAGCTTCGTGATGTTGAATTGAAACTTAATTAAATTTGTTAATTAATTTTTTTACATATAGCTATCCTTCCAGCAATTCTAACCGCACTTTCATTTCAAGCACTCAGAGTGTAGTAGTAGTTATGCATCAGTTAGGATGTACTATTTACTGTATATTCTGTTAATACCCATATTAGCCTTAATAAGATTACATAAAATTGGCAATACATCCCATAACCAAGCAAGTCACAGCACTAGCAGTTTTATTGACTATAATGACTGGTTCCAGCAGGATAATATGGAAGCTATATTAATACGTTTGTTTACATCTATACATATAAATATATTTACCAACAGCTGTGGTTTATCAAATTAATAAAACAAAACAGAAATTGCACAAACTACATTGCATTATATCTGAATACCTAAGATGCAATGTCTTATGTTGTCTTGTTGTGTTTATCATTCTTGATGTTAGTTGTTATAATCTTGATGTAAGTTGATAAATTATCAGAACTTATTTGTTTTCAGTCTGTTAGATGATGTGAAACTAAAGCACAAAGGAGAGCTGGAGCACTCTGCATGTCAGATTAAGGTTCATACATTCAGTGTTTTCACCTCCACTTGAAAACTAAAGTGCCCAACATGGATCTCTGCAATAGAACGATAATTTACACATTGCATTTAGCAGATCTTATAAACAGCATATAGTGTACTATATGGTTCATAGAAGTAAAGGCAAAGAACCAATGTTTCCTTTAACACAACTGCTTGATCGCTGTTAGAAATGCAGGTATTAAAATATGCCAAAATACACTAATTAGTATCCACTTTGGCTGAAGTAGAATGCAAAGTTACTTTACATCCACTTGATGCATAAACGTATCAAGAAATCCTCACTTTAAATCTATAGCCTACCTTTGTTGAGTATTGTGGTGAATTGCTTTAGCTATAATCATTGTGCTGTTTTTGCTCACAGGCTTTAGAGGACGAAAGAGATAAACTTGCACGTGAGAAGGCAGAGTTGGTAGTGGCAAAGAGACACTTGGTGTCTGACGTGGAACTGCTGCGTAAGTCGAAGAGTCGGCTCCAGCAGCAGCTTGACCTTGTGCAGATGGAGCAGTTGGCAGCATGCCAGCATCTGTCCAATCTACTGAGAGCGGTGCGTGTACTCTTCAGAATATCAAGCTCATTCCCAGCCCTATCCCCATGTCTAGCCCTATGTCTGTGTCTAGCTCTATCCCCATGTCTAACCCTATCCCTATGTCTAACGCTATCCTCATGTCTAACCCTATCCCTATGTCTAACACTATCCTCATGTCTATCCCTATCCCAACGTCTAACCCTATCCCCATGTCTAGCCCTATCCCTATGTCTAGCCCTACCCCCATGTCTAACCCTATCCCTATGTCTAACGCTATCCTCATATCTAACCCTATCCCAACGTCCAACCCTATCCCCATGTCTAGCCCTATCCCCATGTCTAACCCTATCCTTATGTCTAACCCTATCCCAACGTCTAACCCTATCCCCATGTCTAACCCTATCCCTATGTCTAACCCTATCCCCATGTCTAACCCTATCCCCATGTCTAACCCTATCCCCATGTTTAACCCTATCCCAACGTCTAACCCTATCCCCATGTCTAACCCTATCTCTATGTCTAACCCTATCCCCATGTCTAACCCTATCCCAATGTCTAACCCTATCCCCATGTCTAACCCTATCTCCAGTTATTACCTATCCTTGTGTCTAGCCCTATCCTTATGTCCAGTTCCACTTTCACGTCTAACCCCACCCCTTTACATGGTGCCACTTCAGTTAAATATTTAAATCATGTGATTGGCAATCTTTATCGGATGTGTGTCAGTCAGTTATATAAAGCTCATCAAAGGTTGTTATTATTTACTTATCAGATTGACAGGACCATAGCAGAGAGAGACACATATGCTCATATGGTAAGAATGATATTTAGCTATTAAATTTTAAAATATTGTTGCATTTCTTTTACGTATTCTTTCCGTGGTATTCCTCATATAATGTTCCAAGGCAAAAAGAAACAGAATATGATTGTGCATGCTGCATCTGCTAATTATATGATACCAAATAATAATATACTTTTGAAGAAACAGCATTCGACAGTCTGAAGTTTAAAACTTTAAAGTGTCAGCTAGTGAAAAAGAAGATGGCCTGTGACATAACGTCTCTCTCATGTGTAGGCACACAACCAGCAGCGCCAAAACTCGCACATCGTGGGAAAGGTGATGAAGCAAAGTTTATCAGTAGAGAGGATGGAGGAGAAATTTCAGGTAATGGTTGTGCAGATAGCAAGGAAAGTTATAGGTAAAAGCAGTGTATGTAGATGGATAACTTGCGGGTAACGGCAAGGTAGATACATTTATAAAGTACCGTTCTGTTGTCAATACACCTAGACTTGTCGTAATAGATGTGTTCTTGGTATATTCTATGTAATGGGGTTAGCCGCTAGAAACAGTTGCCGCTGGAGGGCAGCACATCTGCAGAGGTGAAGATTATCCGCGTACCCAGATGCACATCCGGGATAGAGTGGGGGAAGTGGGTGTTTATTTTTGTGTGTGTGCTGAGGAGTTATGTAATATGTTTATTGAGATTCACGGTGATATTAGTGGTGCATATGTGAAGTGGGTGTTTATTCTTTTGTGTGTGCTGAGGAGTTATGTGATATGTTTATTGAGATTCATGTATGTATGTAGGTACATGTATGACCTGGCAGAAGAGCCCCTACTGTCGTACACCACCTATATTGCGCGCTGACAATATATATGCGTGCGTGCGTGGGTGTGCACGTCCACGTGTGTGCGTGCGTGTGTGCGTGTGCACGTACAAGTGCATGCGTGCGTGCGTGCGTGCGTGTGGTCATACATGTACGTGCATGCGTGCGTGTGTGCGTGGGTGTGCACGTCCACGTGTGCACGTACATGTGCGTGCGTGCGTGTGTGCGTGCGTGTGCACGTACTCGTGCGTGCATGCGTGCGTGTGTACGTACCCGTGCGTGCATGCGTATGTGTGTGCTTGCGTGCGTGCGTATGCACGTACAGGTGCGTGCATGCGTGCGTGTGCACGTACACATGCGTGCATGCGTGCGTGCGTTTGCACGTACACGTATGTGCGTGCTTGCGTGTGTACGTACACATGCGTGCATGCGTGCGTGTGTGCGTGTAAACGTGCACGTGTGTTCGTGCGTGTGCGTGTGGTCATACATGTACGTGCAGTCGTGCGTGTGGCAGGTACACGTGTGTGCATGCGTGCGTGCGTGTGCACGTCCACGGTGTTGGGTGCGTGGCGTGCGTGCGTGTGCACGTACATGTGCGCACGTACAAGTGTGTGCGTGCGTGGGTGCGTGCGTGCGTGGGTACGTGCATGCGTACGTGTGTGCTTGCGTCCATATGTGAAGTGGGTGTTTATTCTTTTGTGTGTGCTGAGGAGTTATGTAATAATGTTTATTGAGATTCACGGTGATATTAGTGGTGCATATGTGAAGTGGGTTGTTTTTCTTTTGTGTGTGCTCAGGAGTTATGTAATATGTTTATTGAGATTAGTAAAGCTACAAAGACTCAGTTGCATATACAAATTATGTATATCTTTATTTCTAAAACGCAGCCATTTTACTACAGACACTAGGCATTACTGCTACAATAGCTCGCCTAAAGTTGAAATCATAAAGCACACCTTAACAATTCTTCCACCGGAAGAATCTTCTGATGGGCAAGATCTCTTTTAATATTTTATATGCCTTGGCTTAGACCAATGACCCTCTCTACATGAATCCTCTTAGATGCGATACGTCTATCCCTAACAACGTCCTTGCATTAAGTTGGGATTTTCCTTTGAGCATTGACGCGTGTTTACATGCACGTCCTTTACTAGCAAACAGATTCTGAACCATAATTCGCTCTATCTGACATGATGCTGGTTTTTCGTCGTTTCTCAACTCTCCTCACAGCAAACCCTCCATTTAATAGTTCAGATTCGGGTTAGCTGGAAACTTATGACCAGCTTTAGCGCGACTTACAACCAGGAACACAACAGTACGAAAGCATTTTAAACTTGGTTATATCGCTATGATTCCTGTATCTTTACAACTGACTCGTTCGTTGCGCAATCGTTGTAACACCTCTAACTCCCGCTGCGCACCCTGGCGCGAAAAGCTAGCGGCTAACCCCATTGATAAACTCTAACCGATAAAATGTGTTGAAGACTGTTCTGTTCGATTAAGTCGACAATTATTCGTCTGCAAGCAAACAACATTTGCTGCAGCATGATTTAGTTTGCCCATGAGCATTGGCAGTCTGTGTGTTTTGAATTGTGCATTGTATCAAATATATATTGGATTCAATATAGATTGGTGTCCAGGGGTATATCCATACCATAATAATTTACATCTAAAATTTTTAATAATCCTTCTACAGTTATACAAGACAGAAGCGGCCCAGAAAACTTGATCCGTCGCAGAGAGGTATGATATATATATATATATATATATACATATATATATATATATATATATGATATATATATATGTATATATATATATATAAAACTTCTTCTATTCTCATACCTAACATGAAAATTTTAAAACAGTATCAGTCAGTATCATTTAGCCGTCAGTATGGCAATCATTGATGGTAGTGAAGCTATTCATGTAAGTCGGGTTTGGGATTGGTTGATGTGATTTCGGAAGAGTTTTCCTGTAAACTGCAACATAGGTAGGATTTCACGAAGTTATTCTCATTTGTGCTACTGCATGCTCACTGTGTGCATGGTTTTATATGCTAATGCTTTATTTTATTACGATTTTTTATTGCCTTAGCAGATGCAGGCACAGCAGAAGGAACAGCAGGCTCATCAGCATGAATACCAACGAGAAATTTCAATTGCTTAGACAAATGGCTGGCAGAGAAACAAGACCAGATAACTACTCCGCAGTCAGGTGAAAAAAAAGTATGAATTTATTCGTATTGATTGTTAATTTGACAGAGAACTGGCAGAGCATATAAACAGTACAGTAAAACTCGGCGTAAGTCGACATCGTCTAAGTCGTCAATTTCGCGTAAGTTGACATGGAAGTCAATGTCCGATTCGCTCTCATAGTAAATCCATTGGAATAGCCCCGCCTAAGTCGACATTTACAAGTCGTCATTAATGTACAAGTCATGCCCTCAGACAGGTCCCATGTAAAACAAACAACAGTAATTTCCCATCTGTAAGTCAACATCGGAAATGAGCCGATGCGCAGTGTAGGCGGTCAGGAATACACGAGCTGGCTGTCTGCAAGACGGATTGTTTGAATCCGCATTTGTTTGCTAGGACGCATTGTTTTTTTCAGCTCGCAGCTCGCACACCCCGCAGATCCCCACTGGTATACATGTGTATTAATATAGTGTATATAGTGTATGCAGCCCAAAGCAGGGTGCAACAATTAACGGCGAGTCCAGATCGAGTCAAATACTCCCTAATTTTCTGTCGGACTCCCTGATTTGACATATGCAGGAGTCCGTGTGACTCCCTGAAAATTAATTCTGGCTATTCAGTACTAACTAGTTTGTTCCAGAGCACGGCCTCGCGGAATTCCCTATTTTTTTCAGAGCAAGTGTTCCAAGAAAATTTGGCAGACGTGCACTGCAAATGTCCTGCTACGCAAGGCAGCTAATACAGCTCATAGGTTCTATGTCCCCCAGGGTACTGCCGGAAGCGTACCTGGTCACTATCTGATATGGTTAGGGTTAGGGAGTAGGCGTAGGCGACTCCCTAGACTCGTTAGTGGAGTAGGCGAGGTACGGTCCGGCATATTAGATAGTACCAGGGTACGTTCTGGCAGTACCCTGGGGGACATAGACCTTCTCAGCGCTAATACAGTGTATACGCGCATTACATACATTGTTTAAGTCGACAAAATGACGACTTACGCATTTTCGTAAGTCGACACAAATATGATGGTCCCAAAAGTGTCGACTTATGCGAGTTTTACTATGATGATGATGAGTCACTTTACTAAACGGCCAAAGGATTGTTAGCGCCCCCTATGAAAGTTTTATTGGAGCAACTCTCGACAATGTCCACCAGATGTCACTACCATGTTGATCTTAGTTATCTATATATTATAGGTGTCTACGGTGTATAGGTATGTATGGTATATATAGTAAATATCTATTGTTGATCACCTCCAGGAGCATTGAGGCAGAGCTAGAGGCAGTATGGAAAGCAGCGACATCTGAGAATAGACGCATGCAGGACACTCTTGGAAGGACCTTGCACTCGTTGAACAACAGTGGTGCAAATCGCAGTAACAGTGGTGGCAGACTGAACATCAGTGAGGATCTCAGGTCACTGCTTTTTGAGACAGCCTAGAAGTAGCATGAATGTATAGGGGGGGTGGGGGGGGGAAGGAAAGAGAGAGAGAGAAATAGAGGGGAAGGGAGAAAGAGAGAGAGGAAGGGAGGGAGAGAGTGAGTAAATGGGTACGGTACGGTAGGATATAGTGTGCTGTACTCCATATTCCATGTGGATATGCCATGATGTGCAATATTTTTCGCGCAAAGACTATTTATTCTAGTTTATACTTATAATGGACCATGCCAACACAGGAACTACAGAAATAGGACTCCTTACGTCGTTTATTGAATTTAGTTATTAGTTATTTGAGTGTGCAACACTGAAGTCAGTATCTATAATATCAGTAGTAAATAGTCACAATTTGTGACAATTTTTTTACTGGAATCACAGCATTTTGCTTTGTTCTGTGTTGCTATATTAACAAAGCCCAGCAGTTTGTAAACAATTTAGAGTTCCCTATCAGATTTATCAACATTGTTACTAGCGTACATTGTACATACCATACTTTTTGATGATGCCCTCCCCTCACTGGGCAGATAAAATAATATGTCGATTTTTAGATGTGGCCAGAAAGCACAAATTAACGTTTATTTGTGTTTCTAAAACTGTAATAATGTTAATGTTAATGACAGTGATAATGTTGGTAATTATGAATGGTCCATTAGTAGGTAAAAACTTATACATAATTACATATTTATTCATATTTATTTCATATATTGACTATATATAAAACCACCTCTTGCTATTTACATGAACAGCATGTGATACTGAACATGCAGCCGTCCTTTGAAAACTCATAAATATGAAGGTTAGTGTGCATGCGTGTTATTTTATTCAGACTTGTAATATTTGTTATCAGGTGTGAATAAAAACAACTTGTTTTTCTTCACTCCTGATGTTATGTGAGATGTATTGGAGATCACGGGTTTTGCCCTGTTTGTATGTGTATACCATAAAGGTCATACAATCTACGACATTCACGCTTCCAACATCCTAGTCAGGGCTGTAGTCCAAGGAATTGTATGCATGATATTAAAACTGAATGTAGTATGCAGACCAATTGAATGTGCAGTGTTGTTATTCGACATATGTGTTATATCAAATAGACAGATGTACACTGTAATTTATATCAATTTATTTCATCAAAATAGTCCTAGCTGCGCAAGACACCTATAGGATACAAATCGGCAATGGTTTTCCCCTCCTTACAATCCAATTTCGTCTCAACCTCACCTTCTCTCGCCCCTTCCTCCCTCCCTTCTTCACTCGCTCACTCTTACTCACTCTTGGGCATATGCGTGCGCGAAAGAGGTGATAGCAAAGACCGCATATATTGTCTTTGGTGAGAGACAACGATTGTTTTCACGATACCTGTCTAGCACTGTTTTCGTGATTATAAAACTGCAAAAGCTACATGGAAAAGTACCCAGAAAAGAATGGGATAGGCAGACGTATACATATATACATAATAACTATGCCAACGAATCATTCACACACCAATAATAATACCTGATAATACGATACAGTGAAATATTAAAAATAAACATATGATGAAATATAGCAATTTTATCATTAGGCTAGAGTCGAGAGACGGACCCGTCAATCCAATATGTTTTTTCTCGGGCCTGGAAATTCCAGTATTTGATATTGTTATCAGGAGTAGATAATAGAGATTAGTCTCTATTATCTACTCCTGTTGTTATCTTGGTGACACGATTATCCATCGTGCGAGACAAGAATCCTATCCTGATAAAACAACCCGCAGGAATGACAGTGCAAGCACACTGCCATCATCGTTCTTCTGCTCGGACATGCAAACCTTTGGAAAATTTACCAGTGTTACGATAGCACAAGCATAATTAAGTAATACGATAGATATAGATATATATAAACGTGATGATTTTATTTGGACAGTTGCACTTTCACTTTTTTTCTCGTAATGATCAATGTAAGCTTTTACAAAAATACCCACAACACTTTACATATCAGTTGCCTCAGGGCTTACAAAACTTATACTTGTATGTTCACTGTTGATATACAGCAAAATATTCATTCACTCAAACACTCTATACATTAGGTGAAGGTTATCCTACGCAACTTGTGCAGGTCACGCAAAAATCAGTGGATGTACGAAGTTGGTTGATTGTAATTAATGGATGTGACATGATTTCTATTGATTGTTGGCCAAGATACAACCCAAATTGTATTTTTACTTTTTAGGCATGTTCTATTCCATGAAGTTTAGCAAAATATTACCAGTACATTTTACTTGCCTTGCACAAAAATTCAATGATTTTTATTTACAGAGAGCTTCTTTCTAGAGCTTTATTAATGCCTCATTAACACTAAAACCTATTGAGATTTCTTTTTTGTGTAAACACTTATTAAAGATAAGTTATTATTGAATAACATCCGCATACTTTTTAACTCCTTTAAATATATGCATCGATACAGGACATTGTGGTGGGCTGGCATGGCTACGGGCAAACCAAGAGCAAATCGAGAGAAACGCATCACAGTATACGTTTCTATTTACTGCATTTACGTGAGGTTATTCATCATGAAGCTGTGGTCCACCCTAAGGTGAGACGAAATTAGAATTTTTGATTTAGCAATACTGCCCACTGACCACAGCAATCACTGAATTGTGAATGATGAAATTGTACTCTGTAAAGCACTATCGCTGCACCATATAACCCTAGCAATGTTTAACGTGGCGTTTTATGAATAAATTTGCCTCGTGGCAACTTCAGCTTCACTGAGGCCTAAGAGTTGACCAGAGTGCGTTTAGAGTTACACTGAAAGTAGTGCTAACATAGCCAGCACCCTCTCCAACTGGCAAAGACGACTCACAGCCAACAGGGCTGCGGTCGCGAAATGTCCAGTCAGCCAATTTCATTTACACGGACGTGCAGCGAGTTGGTGAACATAAAACGGCTCCTGATTGGACCTCTCGGTCGTATTGTAATTCAGTGATTAATAGAATCGCGTTCTAGACTCAAGGGATATTTAACAGCCATCTATCCCGTATGTTCACGACAAGTGAATTTCAACCACAAGTTTCTCAGCGAAGTCAAAATTCTGCAGAGTGGGCACCCGTCTAGACATGCAGTTCATTATATACAAGTTTCTACATGCTCGTTTACGTGTAGATTCCCGACTATTCAAGAGATTCCCCAACTATGTACACTTCCCGAAATGGAATGGGTGAGAAAACCCTCAGATCTACATGTTTCAAGTGATTTCGTTTTTACTAGTATATAACACCAATAGCGACAATGTGGGAGTTGAGAGCAGAAGATGCCACATCCTTGTTATTCGAGGAAATAGCACAGGCAGGTACAGATGTTTAGCACATAATTCATCACCTGCAGAAGATCACCCGTCACAAACGCTTTCTGTCACAACCTTTCGTGTTTCGAGCAAGTCCAAGGAAATGTCCTTGTGTCGTCGTGCGACATAAAAAAATGCTCATTTCAAACAGATATACACCAATATCAGCTTGCCGAGATGGTAGCCGAAATCAAAGAATGGTAAAACTCGCTATCTCATACATTTTAACGTAAATTTCAAAGTAAATAAGCACTACGTAGCACTTTACATAACATATATCATGTGATAACCTTAAAAAAAATTATTTTACTAAAGTTAATATAAGCCTGTCGATTAGGCACTGCATCTCTGTGCCAATTAATTAATCCATAATCACAATATGCACTGCACTGTGATTGGCCTACTACGCATCCTATTTTTGTAAAATTAAGCAACAAGTGTCGTACGTGATTTCTTATTAGAAATATGAATCTTGGCAAGAAGGTGAAGTAAACGTGATGAAAAAAGCCCTGAAATGAGTTTTATGAATTCAGAATTGAACACCCGAAAATGCATCAACAGACTATACGAATCGAGGGACCCATTCAAACGTATAAATACAGCATCCATAAAGCCTGCATACATAAAACAAAGTGCGAGGCAGTGGCAAATTTCCATTTTACACCATTCACCAGTCACAGACATTCAAGATGGTCACAGGTGCGTGACAGCACCATGTCCAGACAACAACTATAACTATTCTTGATCCAATGCTCGATGTTAAATGGCACCTTACAAAAGGACTCTCGCACGCAGTCAAAGTAGATGTAGCCGTTGCCATGGCTACAAGCAATATCCGTGGCATCGTGCCGGAGAGTGCGTCGCTCTGTCGATCACAGGTGAGCCCCTCCCATGTGTCCATCACAGATCGTCATCACCTATGCCCTCGAAGGCATCATTCTCCACAAAACTCTTTCCCTTGGCTGGACTGGGCTGGGTGTTCGCTGTAGTGTTGGTAGTCCGACCGACCACCGACACAGAAGACAGCTTGTCCTGTCAAACAGAATCCATGTACATGCAACAGCACAGACACGATTATTTAATTAGGGACATTGTGCAAAAGTTCAGTCTAGTTTCTCCTGTAACAATATACAATTTTCGGAAAATCACGAGTAATCCTACATGCTGCTAGATATTCTTTTCCCTCCTCAATATCACAGAAACGTGCTACTACCAAACAGATTTGGCCAAATCCTGTTTTAAAATATACATTATCGGATATACTACCATGCAACCAGCAGATACATTTCGCTTACTAAAATTATAAAATGCAGTGGAAAATCTCACTGCAAACAAAATTTCTGCACCTTCTAAAGACGCACGACTACGATGGAGAAGACAAGGGCGCCACCTACCGACAGCTTCTTCACCGATTCGAGCGCTCTGTGCGCGGTCGACGTTGCACTCTCATCGTGATGTTCGTCGTCACCGTTAGAAGCACCACTGCTGTTGCGCATGTCCATGCTGCCATCTCGCTTCATGTAGCTGCGATGGCGCTGCTTTGGCCGATCGGCTGGCTGCCGAACAGACAGGCAGATGTAAAACCACAACCGTTGCTCAGCAACCATCTCCCAGGCAACAGACATTCGCACCGACGGACAATAAATGTGTATCAACAGTCATATTGCTGCGACTTGTGATTGCGTGCGCATCAGTACATTTTTTCAATGGGCAGTCATTGCAAATAAAATGCAAAAGCGTATCACCGCAAGAGCAAGAGTTTCTGCATACACGCCACTTTTACTTGTGCATGTAAGAGGAATTATCTTTCGTGACAATCGCTACCGCAAATGGAAGCCATTAGCAACGCGACTGTTTTTCATGTTTCAGCCACGTTTCCTTGGCATTCTCTTCGAGCTCTACCACGCGAGTCTCAATGCGGAAGCCATTTTCATCCGTCAGCGCACTCACCCGCCTAATGCGGCCGCCCTGTTTCTTCATGATAAGCTCGTCAACCATTCCTTGAAGGCACATGCTGAGAAGTATTGACTGCAAGAACAATTGCGATATTAAAACGGTTATTGCGAGATTTTTGCTCAGAAAAACTAAATAAAGCTGAATATAGTCTCACCTGACAGCGGAAATATCACTGATTACACCAACATTAAAACAAGTGCCGCAGAGCGACAGCGCTCATCTAACGTCTACTGCGGTGACTCTGTGGTGGAGTGGTGGGATTCTAGTAAACCCTGTTAGTCCCAAATGTGTTCACATACACGCCGAAACAGTGGAATGCACAGGGATGGTATCAGGAACCTTCTCAAAAGAATGTTCGTTGGGATCGTTATGAAAGTTGCCACGAGATGGCGCGTACGTTTAAGTGTCTTCAGATTAAAGATGGAAGCTCCCATCATACATAGTAGCAACAACTATCTGCAAGACAGAATAGGTAAGCACTCATCCATTTACCTACGCAAGCCTACAGGCTGCGCAATAGAGAGCTGCCACCTGTAACCAATTAAGGCAAAAACTCCACAGTACCACCAACACATGCACTGGCAGTAGCCACTGGCAGTGGCATACGTTACATATAACATACTGACAGTACAGAATGCCATATAAATTATACGATTTAAGGAGCATAAACCTTCTTTAACCAAATTTAGCTTTTGAAATTTCACTGTGACATTGTAGCCTCATACATCCAGGCATGTATAGATTCTACTAGCAAACCCGGCAGTCAAATTCTTTCTAACAGACAGTCAACAAATCCATGTTTAACCCTCCTCTTGAGGGTCAAAAGGTTATCTGACACTTACTCTTCGCATGTCAGCAGAAAGTAGATTTCATGGTCCTTTCAATAATGCCATAAAAATGCTAGGTCACTGCTGAAACAAAAAAGTTTTTCAATCGCTCCGTCAGACCATGTCCTCAGAAAATGTCTAAAATCTGCCCTGTGCCCATTGACCTTTGACCTGTGACCTCCAATTTCGGCACAGTGATGGCTTTTCCAACCATGATGCTATACACCGACTATCACGAGCCTAGGTCGAGCCGTTTAGATTTGTGCCGCAATTCTGCATTTCCTCCCTATACCTTAAGTTAAGGAGTGAATGTTCCCCCTTCTTTTACACCTTTTGACCTTTGACCTTTGACCCCCAGCTTCGACAGCCCAACTCGTTTTGACGATCCCCCCCAACGACCCGAATATCGTGACCGTACGTCGAGCGGTTAAGATTTGTGCCCAACTGTTGACGGACGGACGGACGGACGGACGGACGGACGGACGGACGATCAAGCGATTCTACAAGCTGCATCTGACTATGTCAGATGAGCTAAATACTAAGATTTTATGAGTTATAGCATAGAAAAATGGATTTGACCACATCGTAACAGCAATAAATTTTATCGTATGCCTATAATGCCTAATGGCAGAATTGGTAAACTTGTATTTGTGTCGGTGATGAATTGAAAACAAGTGCGTGCCTGTACTGTGTCTATGGCTAATAAGCAGTGGCGCCACAAGCTAATCCATACTTCCTGTTAGTTCAAGATGACAGAAACGATTAGTTTGAAACTGGCAGTTTTCGGTGAATACGAAGGTTCTAAGACATTTTATTGTTACTCTAGACAATTGCTGTTACTCAAGCAATAACGGTAGGTGTCATGAAAGTGGTGAAAACACTGGAAAACTCTCGCAATAGTTACTTTAAGCCGACGGGAGTGTGTGGGGGGCCCTATCAATTTTACTGCGATTGTGATTGCACTGAAGTAAGATACGGACAAGAAAAGAGGTAGGCGTGTGGTAGCCATAAGATAAGCGAAATGACATTTGCTTCGTTTAAATGTCCTACACCAACTATATAACACTGATTACCGCAATGCGACAAACGAAAATCTCTGCGTGAAACTGCGACGACGTCCGAGAGAACAAAAAAACGTCGCGAAATCGCGAATCCGCCATAACGTCGCCAAATAAAACAGCACGATCGATCGATCGGTCGACGACCACCCCTCGCTGCCGACACTCGCCTGGTCGCTAACGATCGTGATCCACTGCAGGTTGTCCTTGCTCATCAGGTACTCGAAGGCCAGCTCCAGATGCGGGTCAACGTCGCCCATCTCCTTGTCGATGGACGTCGTAATACGCCAGCAGCGCATCCGCGTCACCTTGAAAACCGCCTCCCTCACCTGGTCCTGCGAGCGCGAAAATCAAAATGAATGCGAAATACGAATTGCAGCTACGGACCGACGCGACTCACTCGCTCGGACGACCGAGCGGCCATCGTCGCGACTGCCTGCATGACTCGATTCCCGAGGGTGCATGTTAATTCGTTAATTTTTTCGTTAATCAAGTTTTAAGTTTAATAAAGTTTATTTAAGTTTTAAGTTAATTCGTTCATTTTTTTCGTATTTGTGCTACACGAATTCCCAACCCTGACTACGAAATTCCCGGTGCCCCCGCATACTACTCTCCATAACTCCCTACACTCCTCTGACAGTGAGAAGCGTGCCTGCCGCTCAATGACATCCATACCGTGCATGGTAATGCATGGATGCAGCAATAGAAGTGCATCTTTGCATAAAGTTAGTATGGAGTAGAGTATAGTATTAGTATAGAGTTAGTATACTCTAGACCTAGAGAGTATAGAATAGAGTAGTAGTAGAGTATAGTATTAGTATAAAGAGTATAGAATTAGTATAGTCTAGGCCTAGAGAGTATAGAATAGAGTAGTAGTGGGTAGGAGTAGTAGAGTAGGAGTATAGTATTAGTATTATAGAGTTAGTATAGTTTAGACCTAGAGAGTAGAGAATAGAGTAGTAGTGGGTAGGAGTAGTAGAGTAGTAGTAGAGTATAGAGTTAGTATAGTCTAGGCTTAGAGAGTATAGAATAGAGTAGTACTGGGTAGGAGTAGTAGAGTAGGAGTAGAGTAGAGTATAGGCTACTACCTTGGCGACGTGCACACGCATGCACAGCTCCTTGTTGCCGGCATTGATGATGACACGAGCCCCGGGGGTCGGGTAGTCAACAACACACGGCTTAAACTGGATGTACCCATAGTGCTTCAGCGTCCTTGCTAACATGATATACTGAAATATGAGAACATGAGATATCAAAGTGTGACGGTGATACGCATGTCACCCCACCAAACAACTCCCAATCAACTTCATAAAACATTTATATCTAGTGATTACATATAATACTATCAAATGTAGTGCACTGAGAGAGCTTGTGGCATTCATAAGCTAAAGGAGTCAAATGTTACTTTTTTATAAGACAAATGTTGTGTTGGGTTTAATCAGAAATATCAAGGCACCACGCCAAGTTAGAAGTAGACCAAGGAAAACGTTTCTTTCAAAGAAGGGTTATTTTACAAGGTCAATTATCTTTTAGCCCTTTGAATGAAAGACAACAAAGAATACATATACAATATGGAATTTACGGGAACTCATCAGTAAGGGTGTGAAGGTAAATCAGGTGAGATAGCTACAAGTTTATTGTTGTGGATATCGTGTAATTTTTTGGCAAGAAAGGCAAGCACGGCATTTCACGTCCTCGCAGTCTGAAATTCGAGCCAGATGCTTATTGACTGGAGACAAAATTTCTAGATGCCAGTTAGACTGTGAAAATGAATGATAACCTGGTTTGTGTAAACTGTCAGGTTTACATGGACACGTTACTACAGGAGAGTACTACTAGAAGGCACTATTAGTGCTTCTTACTTCTTTTTTCGAGCCCTTTGTCTGGAGAGAGCCTAGCTGCCGATGTGTGTCTTTCTTTGCCTCTGTCCAGCCTCGTTCAAGGTCGCTGATGGCTTGCACGTAGAGTAGATTCATGGCTATTCTGTCGTCTATCAGGTGGTCATCAAACACTGGGTCCCAGTACCTACGTGACACAAACACAGTTTCACTCAATGTCAAATCGGCTTAGGTCCAGCCAACCTCCCATTTATTACTAGATCCTAAACTAAAATCCGGGACTGGTATATTCACAAACGATTTTCTGTAGTTAACGACGAAGACCAACATGTAAAATGATACGAGATCAAAGATTCAAATAATTTCAAATTTCAATAAAAGAGATTAAACAAGCACACCATATAGATGGTCGTTGAATGAACACCTACAGTGAATATTCTTAGATAACGATCTAAGCCATAGCTAACAAAAATAGCTAACCATTTTGAATATGCATGTGAATTACATGGACATGAAAGCAGTCACACAATATTAATTCATTCGTGTAATGCATATACCCTTTTCGAACAACAATTCGGTGCTTCGGACCAGCTGATCGTTGGGATAAGTAAGGCGATTCAAAATCTTGCATTTTGCGCACAACTGAAACAAAATTGTCGTGTCAAAATTATAGCATTTTCCAGTTTATACATCTTAACATATTGAATATTTTTTCCATCATATATTATTAGCTTGCATGCATGATGTTGGAATGAATTAACGAGGAAATACATAATTGAACTTTACATAAAGACAACTGAAAACATTGGTACAACGAGAACGTGGTTACAGTAACCAAGTATACATACTCGATATTTCATTGTCATCGTCCTTTTTTATAAGATAAAGTGCAAAATAGAAGACAAAGTCCTCATTTAGCTGTATCTTCTGAGCAACGATCTGGAAAGTTCATTGATATTTAGGCAGAGTAGAGAAAAAAAGCAAATGACAGAGAAGCACTCAAGTCTATCTAAAAAGTTTGGTTACTCTGGACTTCATTTTAGACAACATTTTCACTTCCAGTAATGTGTTTCCTGTATGGACCAGTCTGCAACTGGACATCTAATGAGTCGTGGCGCATGTGATTTCATCAAATATATTTAATATAATTATACTAAAATCATGTAAGCGCTTGAAAATTTGCAGTGAACTATGATGACAACAATGGTACTGATGACGAAGATAATGCTGCTGCTACTGCTGCTACTGTCGATGATGATGATGATGATGACGATAAGAATGCTGATGACAATCATGAAGGCATTAATGCATTACAAACCTCCAGGACATCGTCTGTTTGATCTGTGGACATGATAGTCACTGGAATCTTGTGACCATTCATAAGGTATATATCTAGCTCTACCTCCACTGGTGTTTCTTGCTCAGTTTCCTGCGAGTAAAATATCATCTCATGTATTGCCTCTACACAGTAACAGTTTCAATCCATAATCACATATACTTTTAAAGTAGAAATCAGAAATGATACGCCAGAGTGAGGTTCTAAGTTATTTAATAGTGGCTACATCTGCTTTGTTACCACTCAAAAAGTTACTGAAAGTTATCTGCTAAACTCAATGTTGAAATTAGTAGAAAAATCCCAATTGATTAATTAAAAATATTGTGATCAGAACACAATTTATAAAACATTAGCACTACAAAATGTCTTTACCTGTTGCGCCGCAAGGAAAAAACTATTGAAGGTTTCGCTATTCGATATTCGTGCATCCTGACTTACTGAAAAGTAGAAGACAGGAACGATTATACACTTGAAACGGTGTGGTTTTGACACACAAAATATGTGGTTAGAGTGCTAATAATTATTTAATTAAGGCTAGAAAAATATTCTACTAGATAGGATAGGCACTGCCTAGAAATACATATTCTACATACATAAATATATAAATATATACATTATAAATACATAATACATATATATATATATATATAATATAATATATATACATTATAATACATTTATAAATATATATAGAGTACGTATTCTATAAGGACAATAACTACTACCCATAAATATAAGTATCGGTACACAACGGACGTATCTAATAACAATGACATAACAAGTAAAATTTGAAGAAATATTTACTTAATTGGATGAAACGTTCTAGCATTAGCTTTCTTTCCTCTTTCTGATTCCCAGTTAAAGGCAGTATCTTTTTTGGTGGAAAGACAGGCAATAAATTTGCTCCATATTCCTTTTTCAGCTATAATAAATAATAAGAAAATATTACTTGTTCATTAATAAATACCGTGCAAGGGCAACATAGGTAACTTACCATATATAATGTAATGTAAAGTCTCCTCTTATGGATACAAGATTCCCAACATAGACATGTAACAGTAAATATGGAAATGCTTTATGGAGAATAACATCTATTTATATTATGAGTTACCTATCATCATTTACAATTTGTTAGCAGTGTCTACAGTTAGGATCAAGTGTATCCAGAACTAGCTAAGATTACTGTATGGTAAAGCTAAAGCCATGGCTGGCTAATTGATAAGCTGGCTAAACCTAGTCAAATATAGCAGTGAGAAGTATACTAGTGAAAATTAGCATGCTACATCCTACATCATAGGTGATATTTTGCCACACAAACTTGCTCACCTCTCCTACAATGAATTTACATATTATATTTACCTGTTCATAGAAGTTGTGTAGCTGTCTATATCGCACTGTGCAGTGAAAGACGCCATTTACATGTATGTTGTATGCCTGGAATATATATATAATAAAGATGAAAGTTAATGACTATTTCCTCAATCTTGCATGCATTCATTAAAGATGGTAATGATTGAATTAGTTATTATTTATAGCACTTGCAAACCCTTAAATAAAAAATTGGTGACGTTTTACATTTGGTATTTCTGTTCACACGTGACAAGACTTTCCTTCATGCATCAATTATGGCTCTAATTGGAGTCTGAGCAGAGATATATGCTTTTGTCTCCAGTCACAGGGTTTTTTTTTCACAAAAAAAGCCATCAGATGTAAAAACCGGCATCAGCCAAAACTGAGGCACAGTAAGAAATGTTCCAACAGGCCAAGATAAATAATCATTCGTGAATTTGCTAGTTAACTCTTTGGATTTTTAAAGTACATCACAGACACATGACATTTTTTAACACTAACATATAAAAATCTTGAGTTATCTCCTGACATAATAGACATGTAGTCAGGAGTGCCTTCTCTGCGTTCCTGACACATGCCACCCGTAATATATTGACAGCAGTGAACGATTCCTGACTGGTCAGTATACTAACCTAGCGATGAGGGATACCTACAGAGATCTTAACATGCATCGAAGATACGAAGTTACCACTTTCTTATAAAACAAGAGCAGAAAGAATGATAGAATTGCAACAAAAACAAAAAATGGCATAAACTAGGAAACGAATGCATCTTCAATTTCAAGCTCAAAATATTAATATTAGAAATGCTATAATTGAAACCAAATTTGTACAACCATATATGTGTATGATATGAAATTTATATTGGCTGGAAATGAGGCTACGAGAACAAAACAGAATGTGATAGGATCAAGAGTGTATAATATAGATACTACACCAGGGGTAGAAATTTACTTTTGAACACGGGAGTCCCACGGACTCCCTAGCCTCAAAAAGAGGGAGTCCGCAGCAAAATGATGGAGTCCGCAGTCTGAAGTTCAAAATTATAACAGGTGCTTATTTTGAAGATTCATGCAGTTGCACATCTGCCAAATTTTCTTTGGACATTTGATGAAAAAATACGGTAATTCGCGAGGCCGTGCTCTGGAACGAGCTAGTTAGTATAGTATGGCAGAATTTTCAGGGAGTCACACGAACTCCTGCATATATATGTCAAATCAAGGAGTCCGACAGTAAATCAGGGAGTATTTGACTCCAGACTCCCGTTAATTTCGCACACTGCTATACAGAGACTCTATATTATACACTCCTGATATTATACAGCACTGGTAGTGCATATTTGTGATTTGTCGCCATCGAATATGCAGTATATGCCTCGATATTTGCCTGTTTATAATTGCAAGGGTGAACTGCATTTTTTACTTTGGGCAACGAGTTTTTTTTTATAAATGTATATAACCAGCCAGAAAAACTGCAAACTCGCAATCATATTTATGACCATTTGACCATTTGCCATTTGACCATTTGATCATATTTATGACCATTTGATTTGTGTTTGATTTGTTTTTCTATTTAATATAACATTTTGTCCGAGGAGACAATGCAAAACTACCGGGTTACCGGAGTTTTGTTAATTTACGATGGATGCGGCTCTCTTGAATGTGCCCAGCCAGTAGGGGTGCAACGAATCACAACTTCACAGTTCGGTTTTCGGTTTTCACATTTCGGTTCGAATATTTGCGATCAATTACAAATCTTATAGTTATAACACCAAACAGAAGTGCAAATTTAATAATCAGCCCGGCGGATCAACA